CACTAAAGAATAGAACACATATGCAGAACCTATTTCATAAGTAAACATGCATGTATTTTAATAGTCTATCTTGCATAAGTGGTTGTTGAAATATAACTTTCTTCTTTTATTCACTATTATTAGTGCTCTCTTCACATATCGAGCAGAGAGGCAAGTGTAGCCCTTTAGGACAAAGATGAATCAAACAAGATGGATTATTGTACATGTAACAATGCTACAAAACCTTTTTACATGTTAACTTATTACACTATATATAATTCTATGTTAATTTTGGTTTTTATGTTTTTTTTCCCCACTCGTGTCTGAAACAATCAAATAATGATGATTGTACATTTTATGTATGTCTCTTCATTAGAGATGCTTTACACCATGGCCAAACTACAATCATATATAATGTAAGAGTATCATTTCTATTTCTTCATGTTAAGTCTCTGCCATTTGGTTTAAATTTAATTTAAGTAATTAACCTTTGTGTTTTATTATTTTGTTGTTTTGTCTACAGTATTTTTCAAAGTTCCAAATCCCAACATTTCCTGACTAGAGAATTTATTAAGTGCAAAAGGAGTGGTGTGCATATATGTACTGTAAATATTTAAATGACACATTAAGAGCAATAGATTTTTAGTGTTTTATTTTTCGCAGCGTTTGTGATATTTGTAATTTACTTAAGGCAACAAGTGTATAAATTGTTTTTCTCCTAGTGGTTCTTTGTAATTGTTAACTGCACATATGTATTGTTGTTGTATTATTCTTTTTACTTTGAGATATTCGTGTATATGTTCCCAAATTCATTGGATTTTTTATTTCATATTGTGCAATTGCTTTCATATTCTGGTATATCGGAGGCTCTGTTTTACATGTTTATTCTGTTCACACTGTTTTATAAGCAAGAATATTGTTTATTAAGTATGGTAAATTTGAAATATTGTCAGTTTTAATAAAAAAAAAGTCAAAATTTTTATAAGCTTAAGAAAGTGGTTAATCAAAGACCCCTCTTAGAAGTGTACTTTATAGAACGATTCTTAAATAACTGCTCTTAAAAATACACTTAAGAAAGCAGTTCCCATATAACCATTCTCAAAAATGAACATTTTAGAGAAATGAACATTTTAGAGTGACCACTCTGTAAAATTTTGACTTATAAGAGCGGTTAAGCGGGTAACCACTCTTTAAAAGCTACTTCTGAGAACGGTTAGGTACATAATTGCTCTCTAAGTACAACATCTAAGAACAATTATTTAACAGCTCTCTTAAATACAAGACATTGGATAGCACACGATTCTAAAGAACTAATAATTGTTCTCTAAGAAAAGACAAAACGCTTTCAGATCTCATTTTTGGCATAATATAATATATATATATATATATATATATATATATATATATTATGATTTGTAAATCTTTTTAAAATGTGATAAAATTGATTATTTTACAATAACTATAAAGTAAATAAATACATATAACATAGTATAATATTTATGAATATAGATTGTTCTTATGATTATATATATATATATATATATATAAAGAAAAATAGTAATTAATGTTTTTAATACACTAAATAAAAAATAAAAATATTTTATTAAAATGTAAAAAAGCACTTATTTCTATAATTTTTTAATGTATCTTAATATAATTTAAAAAAAAAAAAACTTACTGATTATTGTTTTTCGATCAATACTTTTATCATACCAATTAACGAAATCTTATAAATAAACATGAATACGGATAAAGCATTGGCCCCGTTTTTGTTACAAACATTTTTTAATACTCTTATATTACACTCGTGTTTCCTTTAAAATCACTTTGTATTTGTATGGTTATTTTCATATTTTCTTAAAATTTAAAATAAAAGGTTACCAATAAAAGAATAACTGCAAAAAGAATTTCTATAGAGTATAAGAAATTTTACGCTTTCATCACCCCGGTAACATTTCAGTGTAAAACACTCGTCTTAATCACATTTAACAACTTCGAATTAATCAATTGTTTTATATAGGTGATTTCTTTTAGTCTATTTTTTCCCTCTAAGAGCCACAATTTCATGTGAAAACTTGCAAATCTAAAACTTGTCAATTCATGTGTTAAAGGAAGCATAATGATTATGTCCTCCACCTGTCTGCAAAATATTAACTTATATTTAATTTAAGTGTAGCTCAATTCTAGTTTATCTTTTATGTTTGGCACAAAGCCCGCACTTTTGACAAAGCCATCCCTAATTCAGAACCCACATGATGAATCATCAACATGGCAATGGCAAATCCCGACTAATTAGCGACTTTTCATACTTGGGTCACCAGCTTAGAATGAAATATGTTATATATGATCTGATAATTATATATTAGCATTTTTTGTGTAAGGTTAATCAATCAAAAATACCTATATCGAATGCAGAAAAAGTGTCAAGTAAGTGCAGGTCACGAAACTCCTTTGCAAGAATTCTTTACGTGATATATATGAAAGAATATATCAAAACACCAAAATATAAAATGCCACTGTATTTTATAATCATATTCTCCGTAGCAAAAGCCAAAAATGATTGCAGCAAATAATACGTATGTGCCTATATTTCATCAAACTGGTTGAATGAATTAGTAGATTATTAATTACCATTGAAAGGACAAATTTGTGTTAATTTAATAAGAAAATGCAATAGGTACGGCGATTCGAATAATTGACAGGAACAATTTCTTAAGCTTATTAGGAGTTGTTTTGCTGGTTGGAAAGCTGATTAGGGATTTAAAAATAGAGTGGGGAAAAGTAAATGAAATTGTGCGGTGTTTTATTATAAGGAAACGACAAGGTTCCAAGAATTAGTGGTGAAATTGGATGCACGTTCACCTTAGATTAGGGGAGTCCCCATGTGATTATCGTAACACCAATTTATTTTGTCATTTTGTTTGGCTCCATGCGTCTTTTTCTTTTTGTCTTGCACGTGTGCCCTTGCCATCCTGTTTTAACTAACTTCTCATTCTCAACATACTCTATTATTTTTTCTAATGCTAATCATTATTATTTTTTAAAACTCTTATATAATTCAAATGTATATTTAATTAATTACTTTTCCTTCGTTTCCTCATCAAGTCTTGTTAAATTAAACTTTAGTACTTGACCATCCCGTGTATGAAAACATGCAAGCAAATGTTACATATTTTACGTACTTAAATATCGATATATACGTGTGTTTCTTTACCTACATTTCTTTCCATCTTATTGGATTATGTTAAGCGTCAAGCGTCTGCGGAAGTACTCTCATATCGTATCTAGCTAACTGGCAAATTATCACTGCTAACCAATATGAAATTATCCAAAATGTTCAAGTTATCCCAAAACCATTTCGATCATCATGTACCAAAGGAAAACACATCAAGAGCAATATATGGAAATTTGGCAAAACAATTTCCAAACTGCCAAGCTATATATCGAGCAATATAATTAATTTCTCAATTTTCTAATGAAGAACAACTATGAAGCAAAGAAAAGAAACAGGACCTCGACTTAGTTCCAAGTTGTGATATACTTAAGAATGGTATGAATCTGACCCACTTTATAAGCATCTTAAAGATTTTACCAATATGTATGTAACTGTTTTCTTTGCCTACACTCTAGCTTAATTAATTATATCTTTTCAGCTCTGAGATTGTCTTCGAGTGTTTTTGCAAGTTTGAATTGCCTGAGGCTATATATATATATTGAATTGTTCATGGGTTTTTTTTTAAGGCCTCTTCCTTAGTGATCACTAAAGAGTACTAGCGATCGAATTTTCAAGAAAAAATGTGTGTCATATAATCACGCAACACCATCGGCTAGAGGGCAATAATCCATTTAAAAAGTAACTAATAAAAAATTATCGGCAGTTTCCATAACAAAGCGACTATGAGATCTCTTGATTCCAGTGTGTAAGGTGAAATCATGATAAAATACATCTATAAGGGGGAAAACACGAGAAAAAAAAAATCAACATGGTCACTATTGAATATATTTTTTATCTTTAAATGTATTTATTCAATAGTGACCATGTTGATTATAAATATATTTGAATATTGAATAAACATTTGAATGAACAATAGAACTGAAAAAATATTCTAACCTATGGCAAAAACATCATAATCATGTGGGAACATAACTCATTTTGCTTCCTTACTAAATAAAAATATCTTAACAAGACAATTACATTCTATTCTATTTTACTCGTTGTTCGATATAAAAAAAAATAATAAAAGAGTAAATTATGTAACTTACATGCCATGCCACCCTCAAATATTTTAAAAGAATGCAGCACCCCTTTTTAAGTATTAAAAAATTTTAGAAGTGATTTATTTCTCTCATTTCCACGAAATCTTCGATAAAAATTAATAAGTACCTTCAAAACTAAAAATACAATTAACATTGTATACTTTATTATTATTGTTACAATATTTATAAATCTGAGAGAGTATTATGTACTTTATTTAAATTAACAAGTATAATTTATTTAATATCTTAAAAATTAAAATATGTTTATATTTTTTACAAATAAATTATTAATTTTGTTATATATATATTTAATATAAAATAAATTCTAATACTTATATTCCATATATAAGAGGATAGCACGTCTTTTCAAAGAATTGTTCCCAATCCACGTTGGAACAAAAGTTTTCATTTTTGTCGGTTAATATAACATTGGATAAGAATGTAATGCAGTAAGATTGTGGATCACTAAACACAATGAATAACAGATAATCAACATTATAATTAAAGATAATATAAATTTTAATAATGTAATTACGATTAAATATTGGAATAGAATTTTGGCATCATATTGGAAAAGAGATGTCATGAAGAAGGGGGAAAAAAGGATCGACACTAAAACAGTAAAAGGCAGCCAGCCTAAACGCACAGAAAACACGGGAAAAATAATAATAACAACAAAAACCCAAACGGAAAAAGAAAGAAAATGCTATAAAAAGTGATATAGAACCCAATTCCTAACCAACAAAACCATCTCTCTTCATCTCTTCCATTCCATCCAAATGGATTCAGCAACAACAGCTCCACCCTCACCGGAGCTCCACTTCGACAACCTCAAAGCCCTCAAAATCCTCGGAAAAGGCGCCATGGGCACCGTCTTCCTCGTCCACCACACCGCCGCCGCCGCCACCACCCCCTTCGCCCTGAAAGTCGTCGACAAAACCTCCCTTCACGCCAAACTCGACGCCGAACGCCGCGCCCGCTGGGAAATCCAAGTTCTCTCCACACTCTCACACCCGTTCCTCCCTTCCCTTTTGGGAACCTTCGATTCCCCAGAGTTACTCGCATGGGCCATCCCTTACTGCCCCGGCGGCGACCTCAATGTCCTCCGTTACCGTCAAAACGACCGTGTTTTCTCTCCCTCCGTTATTCGCTTCTACCTCGCCGAAATCCTATGCGCTCTCGACCACCTTCATGCCATGGGCATCGCTTACCGCGACTTAAAACCCGAAAATGTCCTCATTCAAAATTCTGGCCACGTCACCCTCACCGACTTCGACCTATCTCGCAAACTCGCTCCCAAATCCCTCAAAACCGTCCCTTCCCCAATCCCTTTGCCAGATTCGAAGCTTCCAGAACCTCGCCGGAAGCACCGCCGGAATTTCTCCCGGTGGATCCCCCTCCTCCCGCCCGACGTTCCTAATTTCAATAAGAGCGGATTGAAGAAGGCTAATTCCGCCCGAGTCAGCCCCGTGAGTCGACGAAAACTTAGTTTCTCCGACGGCGAACGGTCCAACTCGTTCGTCGGCACGGAGGAGTATGTTTCGCCGGAGGTTGTTCGCGGCGACGGTCACGAGTTCGCTGTTGACTGGTGGGCCCTGGGGATTCTCACCTACGAAATGCTATACGGTACGACGCCGTTTAAGGGGAAGAACCGCAAGGAAACGTTCCGGAATGTGCTCACGAAACCGCCGGGCTTCGTCGGGAAGAGGTCGGCGTTGACGGACCTGATCGAGAAGTTGTTGGAGAAGGATCCGAAGAAGCGTTTGGGTTATGGGCGTGGCGCTAATGAGATCAAGGAGCACGAATTCTTCAGAGGGGTTCAGTGGGACCTGTTGACTGAGGTGGTGCGGCCGCCGTTCATTCCGGCGAGAGAGGACGGCACCGAGGATATGCCTTCGGCAGGAAATGGCGGCGTGGATATTAGGGATTACTTCCAGAGCTTGGCGCCTCCGCCGTCGTTGCCGCCGTCGCCGTCGCCGCCAACGTCTTGCAATTTTAAGAAGAACGTTTCTCTAACAGAATTCTAACGCATGTGCGAGTGCATGCTTGCACGTGTAAAAGTTAGTTATTCTTTTTAGCAATACTGTAATTTTGTGTACATAGAATAACGGTAGATCGTGAAAAAACGGGATTAGCAATGTTAGTTGGTGTAAACTAGGAATATATAAGGTGTAAGAGCTGTAGAATTAAAACCATTGTTTATGAACCCTTTTTGATATATTCTCCAGTTTTTTCCTATGAGATGCTTAACCTTGAATAAACAGCTCTTAGCTTTATAAAATTAGCTCAATAGTAAAAGGTACAACAATTATCGCAGGTAAAATATGCAGTTTTCTTTTTTTCAAAAAGGAAAAGCTAATTATGTAATTGTATAAACTAATTAACTCATTTCTTTATTGCACGTACGTAATGAATGTTTTGAATGTTGGGTTTGTAGCATTTGATCAGGGAATCAATCTTGTTCAAAAATTGACATCATTATTATGGTTTTGGACGGAAAGAAAGTAGTCATAAAATTGAAGGGTTTAACTGTGATGTTCAAGGTGCATTGAGTGCGAATTATTCGAAATCATAGCTGTTTAACAAATTTTCCCCGTGTAAAGTCTATGTTATCTTTATTAAATTATCTCTCTCTTTTTTTTTTCATTTGGATATTCAGGTTTCAGGGGGGAGTCATCTGATGCCCAATCGGATTATCAGTATACATTGTTACAATTGTAAAGCACTGGCGGTATCTCTCTTCTCACGAGAAAGAATTAGCATCATCTTGTTGGAACGAAAGATAAAGCAATGTAATAATCATTAATCAACACTCTTAATTAGGGGAATAGTAGTGATTAATTATTTTCCAATTAACCAAACCTTTGTACTAACGATCAAATGATATGTTTAGATAGTACATATTTATTTTTTTGTTAAATAAACTATTCAATTTGAGTTATATATGAAAAAACACTATACCAATCAATAATTTTTAAAAAAAGTGTGTAGCTTGCAATTTTTACCTTGGAAAGTTCCTTGGACCACTTTGCTTCTGACGAGACATAGTTTAGGTAACTAATCAATATTAGGTAATTAATTGGTTTCATAGATCACCAACTTAAAGAACATAGCCATGTGCTAAATAGAAAGTTTAATAAATTTGACGAGTGTACAACATAACTTTCACGGCAAAGTAAACGTGGTCCACCATGTTTTGTACGCAATGTACTCCATAACAGTAGTTTTAGTTTACATCAACCTCAAAAAAAGAGAAACTAGTTTTAGATTCTCTCAAAAATACAAACAAGGAATAGAGTTGCGTTGTGTTCTATTATGCGGAAAATCTGATCCTTACATGAAGTGTATGTGAGCAAAGGCAGGAATGGGTACCCTGGCTAGCATTGTCGGCCAATTGTAGAATTGATTGTTCGCGAAGTTGATTATAGAAGACGATTGATCTGAGGACCCACGGCTATTCAAGCCAAACGTGTCCTTTTTGTCATGAATCGCTACATGTCTCGTAGGTCTCGCCCATAGGTTATGGTCCTTCCCAACAATGGGATAGCTATAGCCATTGCTTATATGAGATTATGGCTTTGGATTGGATTTCTGATTTCTCTCAACAAACAACAAAAGCTAGGTGAATATCTGTTTTGTTTCCTTCTCCATGCATTTAAAAATAAAATATATGCACCCCAAAAATGAAATAAATTATCCTCATGCATTGTCTCTGATTTGACCCATAATTTGGCTCTTTAGCTCTTATCGTGTCGTTATTCGTGTAGCTAGGAAAATTACATAATCGAATTGTTAAGTAGCCTAAAGTTATCGATATAATTAAAACTCGGAAAAAATCTAGTCTTAAGAATTTTTTAAGAAAGATTGTCTTGCACGGGGATAAATAATTTGGATTGAGTATTAATTGCTCGGAAATAATTCGTTAAACATTCAGTTGACTCATCCATGTTCTTAAATAAACAAAAATATTTTTAATATCACCTAGTTAAACACAAATTTAAAAGTTATGAATAATTTGTGGAAGCACGAGGGTTCCCGCATGTGTGTATGAATAAATAAATAAATATTTGATTATAGAATTATAATAATTAATTAACTTTCATGTTAAAAATTTATTCTTGCCTTTTTCTTATTTTACTTTATATTTTAACAGAAAAATATCTACTAAACACCAAATTAATAAATTTATACGGATTTTAAGAAAAAAATTATAAAATAAAAAATAAAGTTATAAATAAATATAACAAGACAAGCCTTTTTCTTATGGTCAACAACAAGACAAGCTTGAATTTTATATTTTATTGTTAAATTTGTTCAGGCCCAAACACGATAGGATAGATAATGTCATTTTGGGGAACGTCCACACAAGGAAGTTGATCCAAAGAGTCTTAACTGTTACTTTCTCCTTTCTGAGAAAATAGATAATGTGGCCCAAAATAGGAAATCTGAAATGGGCCCACGGTGTGAGACATGAAGTGATAAGACGAGAGTTCTTGGACCAAAAGAAAAATATAATAAAGCAAATATTTATTTTTTGTACACTACAAAGAGCGTCAACATAAGACAAAGAACAATATTCGGCCTGAACAAAAAAATTGGGTCAATTGTTTTCACTGTGGATAAATGTTTTCATTGTATTGAAAAGGAAGTTTATGAATAAAAATAATGCGAGAAGGTTTCACTGTTTGGAATTATACAATTCCAATTAAGCAAAGTATGGTCCCAAATTATGTAGTATATATAATCCATATATAAAACTTATGTAAAGTGTTGTAGTATCAAGCATGAATTAGAAATCCTCATTATTGTTTGAATGTGTAAAGTGAACAATATATAAACATTTGTCGAGTAAAAAAACGTGACCTGACAAGATTTGTTCTGCGATGTGTCATAGCTAAGTAACCATAAATTTGGATTAACTTGATTATAGTGTATATACAAATTGATAAATAAGCGCATTTTATTCGCATATACCGAAAGATTATAGTGTATATAGAGTGCGTCTGAGCCAAAGTCAGATTCATTAAATTTGGATAACAAAGTGACAGTGATGGAATACAATGAAAGTCAAGGAGAAAATTATATAATTCATGTTATTAAGCCAATGGGGGATTGTATGTTGTATCATGCATCCACAAAGTGGTGGTTCACTTTATTGTTTGCACCACAATTTATAGATATTTCAATCAATTAACCTTCTTGGCTGGCACTTGAGAAGGATAAAAGTGGGGAGAGCAAATTGAGCGATTGGGAATTTGGTTTTGGACAATTTATTCCCACTTTGAAGATCTTCTCTATCTGAATTTGCTTGATTCTGTGCACAAATTTGTATTTTTATTTCTTGCTATCCAAGTATATGATTGCTTTCAAATTTGTGGTGGACGAGTCTTATGACTATGTTGGTTCCGTTCCTCTTGTGGTGATTGCATTGGGAACGTTTGGTGAGGGTGCAATCATCCTTTTACACTAATCTAATATTGAATTAACGATTAGATTAAGTGGACAATCCAATAGTGAATTCACGGTTAATCTATGAATGGTGAATGAAGTTAATTGTCTACCCTTTGTGCTTTTCCAGCATACTTGATATATTGGGGATTAAGAGGAAAATCATGACATCGTAGATAATGACTTTTGTGGTGCAGCATGCAGGAGATGGATAGCTTTACGATCACCTTACGTGGTTTTTGTAATCTCCCTAATAAGTGGCTTGTGTGTATACACATTACCCATCATGAGGACAACCTACACTTGCAGGGTGATAAAGTAATCACATAATTAGACTTGGATTGAATTGGGTGTCACGAATTACTAAACTTATCAAATCTAATTCAACTCGATCAAACTCGTATCAAGTCAGGTCATCATGGGTGAAATTTATTTTTTTTTACACTCGTATCAAGTTTAATGAGCTTTTAATTTAGTTATAATTTGAATTTTTTTTAAATCTGGACTTATCTTTAAGTTTGAGTCTTTATCATAAGTCTTATTTTTATTTTTAAAATGGGTTTGTGTTCCTTTTTTAATTTTTTTTAAAAAATGTCAGAAGTATAATTTTTTCAGCTTTTTTATTTATTTTTTATTTGACTTGACCTTTTTTATTTTAGGTCTTTTAATTTTTTTTAAGTTAGTAACAAATTAAAGGAGAAATGTAAAAAAAAATTGTGAGTCTAAATTGTCGAACAATTTTAGATAAAACTGGTCACTTATGCTTAAATTCCATTCAATCTAAATATTCTTGGATTGAGTCCACACTCAAATTTTAATATAATGTCTAAGTTTCATTAGAAAAGAGAAAAAAAAACTTGAAACCCAAAACAAAAATTTGATAAATGAAAATGAAATGACCAAATTTTTTTAAAGAAAAGTTAAGCCAAATAAGAAAATAAAGGGCAAAAAAATATACTCATAATATCTTTAAAAAAAACACTCGTGAAAAGAGTATAAGCTCAATTATTTTAAAAAAAAAAAACCTGTAATATAAACCCAAACTTAAAATATAAATATAAGTCACATTTGCGTCAAAGTCAATTAGACTTAAGAATGAGGTGTTAAATATTAAAAGTCTGAGTTAAAAATAAATTAAAAAATATATAGTAAAAATGTATGAATTTAAACTTTCTAAATACATAAATAGGTTATTCAACTTAAAAGTTGAGTCTTTCTTTCATGCTATTAGATAAGCCCTGCATGGAAAATCTAATTTATAGGTTCAACGTTGATTCAACAAATTTAATTTAAAAATACATTATGTCAGTTACCTAATTTGGTAACAATCAGGTTAAACTTTTAAAGTAGAATCAACTTGTATTCTTCTTTTGTTTTTGTTTTCATCAAGATATGTTGGTATAGTTTATGGGTTCCGAATAAACGTTTCCCCTTTGAGTTTTTATAATATTATACTTTTCATTTGAGGCACAAATTTTATTGTCAATGAGAATTGAGTAGTTAACTTGAAAACAGCATACAAACAACTTCGATGCAACACCTTGTCTAAACTTTGTAATAATAATAATATATTTCAATAATTAAAAAACAAAAACAAAGTTTTGAGTGATGAGAACTCAAAAAGATAACCGGGACATGTAATATCAAACCCAAGTCCACAAGGTACGTTAGCATTTTAAAGAGGAGAAAAATGCTTTCTTTTTCTTCTTGTCATTTTTATCATTTTAATCATAAATGTTATTTCTTTTTCGTAAACAATTTTTAAAATATTTCCATTGAATTTTATTTTAATTATTTTTATCTATACTTGTATTTTAGTTATAATTTTTATTTGGAGATTTGGGTTACCCACTTACACGATACGCCAAGAGAGTGACTTATTTGTCCCTTTCCCAAATTCATATTCTGAATCAAAAAGCTAGCCCTATAATGAGACAAAAGTTATATGGTGAGCACTTTACAATCTGTACATATTTCTTGTGAGATGCATCTTTTCGTTCCATTTCAATGTGATACCGTTCTTCTTGGGCCACATGCTGAATCATTCACATGCAAACAGAAGGTTTGGGCGGTCCAGTGGGACTAGGACTCTCAGATTTACAAGAAAGTGGCTTAGTTTGATTTGTTTAGGATGCTATGTCATGAAAGTTTGCTTGAAATATATATTTAATGTAAGGTTAATGATGTGGAGTGTGTGTGCTCACAAATTCTCAACAAATTTTGGCTCAATGCTCATCCACATGCATATCAACTTCAAGATATTAATTATCTAAAGCAATGCAAAATATCCTCACTCTTCATATATATCTTTGTTCTCAAATGCCCAATGATGAGTTTGGGATAAGGCTTTCTACATAGTTGCACATCATTGCTTCAACAGTGTACATATCAAACACCTGGCTGAAGAGTTTTGAACACTTGTTTTTGGTTTGCTTAACTAA